CTTGTGAAGGAAATAGCATTTGAGTTAGACTTCAAAGAATGGGAAAGATTTCAATTGTGGGAAGATAATAACTGTAGTGATGAAAAGAAATAATTATAATGATGGAAATGAATGTTTGTTAAGCACTTAGCATATGCCAGTGATTTTCAACCTTTTTCATCTCATGTTACGCATAAACTAATTACTAAAATTCTGCGGCACACCAAAAAAACATTTTTTTTTCTGCTCTCAAAAGTATAGGTATTCTTTTGATTGATTTATAAAAATAACAATAATAGTAATTACCTACCCTTGTTTCTCCATGGTGACTTTTTAAGTCAGTTGCCACCCTAGCTGGTTTGGTTCAGTGAATAGAGTGTGGGGCTGAGAACTAAAGGGTCCCGGGTTCTTTTCTGGTCAAGGGCAAATTTATGGGTTGTTGGCTCGGTTCCCAGTAGGCAGTGTGCAGGAGGTAGCCAGTCAATGATTCTCTCTCATCATTGATGTTTCTGTCTCACTCCTTCTCTTTTCTTCTCAGTCCTTAAATATTCTATATAATAAGAGAGGAATATGCTAATTATCCATCACACCCTGAGGCATAATGACATGCATAATAACTGGATCATGGATCTTCAGGACTGTGAGACAGCGAACTACAAGCTACAAGAGGCAGCAGAGAGCTACAGGAGGCAGGGCAGCAAGCTATGAGGGGGTGTGGAGGGAGGAGGGTGGGGCGAGCTACAGGAGGGTGGGGCAGCGGGGTGAGAACTACAGAAGGGCAGCAGTGACACACTGGCACACGGATTTGTGCACAGGGCTACTAATATATATATATATATATATATATATATATATATATATATAGTGCCTGATAACCAAGAATCCCATTCCCTTGCACCCCAGACCCTGACAAGAGGGAGAAGGGAGCCCCATTTCTTGTGGAATTGGCCGTTGCTCAGCTTGCTATCAGTGGCCTGACAACCAGGAATCCCATTACCCTGCATCCCGGACCCTAAAATATTTCTTCTAATTAATTCCCTTTTAATGTGCATAATTTCATGCACCAGGCCACTAGTGTGTGTGTGTGTGTGTGTGTGTGTGTGTATACATATACACAGTTGCCTATACTTGTATATAAGGATTTCTGGTACTAAGATTTAAGCAATCACATGCAAACTTGGTATGCTATGTGACCAATAAAATGGAACTCTATTAAATGACCTATATACTTATGGTTCAAGACAGGGGATTCACATTAGATGGCTATTGTGTTCACTGTTGTCATTTTTATTTGATAGTCTAAGGCAGTGGTTGGCAAACTGTGGCTCGTGAGTCAGATGAGGCTCTTTGGCCTCTTGAGTGTGGCTCTTCCACAAAACACCACATGCGGGCGCACACATACAGTGGGATTGAAACTTCATGGCCCATGCGCAGAAGTCGGTTTTCGGCTCCCAAAAGAAATTTCAATCATTGTACTGTTGATATTTGGCTCTGTTGACTAATGAGTTTGCCGACCACTGATTTAGGGGAAAAGAGCTCAGTGCCCATGACAAAATTGTCAGTTATCGCATGCTTTAAAAATTGTTGTGGCAGGCTGGTTGAAAATGGCTGCTATACTAAGCACTATTTTAACACTTACAGGTGGATTATCTCATTGAATCTTGACCAGTGCTGAGGTACCTTTGAGTGTTTCCATTTTATGGTTAAGGAAACTGACATACAGATATGTGCCTATGTTACCACTGATAGGAAGTGCAGGAGGTGGGATTTGGGTTGGACTCCAGACTCCTGGGCAGAGTGTTGGGGGGTGGGGGTGGTTCCATCAAGGGGAGGAGAGTGATGAGCTTAGTCTCAGGTGAGATGGCATAAGGCACATTGGGGAGCATGAGGAATTCAAAACTGTAATTACCAAATGTTGCTGCCCATCCCAGTCATCAAATTCAGATTCCGGGACCTGTTATCAGCACTTATTGCTGTACAGCAGGTCCACAGACCAGCGCCTGCAGGGCCACTGACCTAGAGCATGGCACACGTGCCATTGTGCCTAAGTGGAGGTCAGAACATGGAAGGCTTCGACTTCATATGAAGATGTTTATAGTTAGGCAAGTCCATCTCTTGGCCTCTGATGAGTGCATATGGGTTTTCAGAAGCCTCTAAAGAGCAAGTAGTTCTGTGACCATCCTGGGGCGGTAAGACAGCTGAAGAGTCAGGTGATTGGAGGATGAGCCGATATTAAGGTACACAGGTTTGTGGGGCCTTTGGGATGGAGTCTCTTCTGGGCCAGGAAAAGGAATCGGGATCACTAGCCATATTCAGCATGTTGACTGAGAGTGGAGAAAGGTGTTTTGGGGTAGAATATTTGATGCATCCATCCCTGAGTCTTCCACTGAGGAAGTATATGTACATACTGCAAGAGAAAAAAAAGTGTATTAAAACACTTGCACACCAAAAAAACTAACTGGATGGACTCAAGCAATTCTGCCACCCCACCAACCTCTCATCTCTTAAACTTGTTCCAAGCACTTCAAGGATCCTACTTATATATTGAAAAAGGAGCTATTCTATTCAAGGTCTATAGGAAGCTTTCACAGAGGAAGTAATACCTGCCTACTCAGAATTTTAAATAGTGCATAGAACTTTGCAAAATGTGTAGATCTGCAGGTAGATATAGCATATGAAAGGTTTGGGGCTATTACACAGTTGTTTGGCCTTGAAAACAATTATCAGTGAGCCAAAGTGCGTGAAGGATGTGGGTAGAATGTTTGGCACAGGTTGAACTTGAGCCTGGAGTGAGTACATAGGAACCACCTACGTTGCAGGAAATACACATGAGGTATGTTGCCTGGTACATAATTGCTGTTTACATCACTAGTACTGTTATTATTGTTGTTAGACCAAGACCGACTGTGTTTATGCCACCATCAGAAACTTAGATTTTACCCTGTTGAGCATGTGGCTTTATATACCAAATTTGGATTTCACTGCTACACGGAGACTGGGCTGAGGGATTTGTTCAGAGTGTTGCAGTAATCCAGGCAAGAAATATTACAATGAAGGTCTGAACCAGGGCAAAGGCAGTGAGGATGGAAGAGTGTATTAGTCAATTCTGGCAGCTGCAACAAAATACCATAAACTGCCTGGTTTAAAAAAGACATTTATTTTCTCATGGTTCGGGAGGATGGGAAGCCCAAGATCAGGGTGCCAGTAGATTTGGCAATAATGATTTCCATTTTGTGACATGCCAAAAAATTGGAAAATATGTTCATTTACAAATAATTGTATATAACAAGAGTGGTCTATCAGAGATCCAGGTTTGTATGTGGTATTGAGGATAAACTTTCTACTTTTTTTTTTTTTAACTGACATTTTATCATTTTGAGTGTGATAGAGGGATGTCTTATTGATAAAGTCATTTCCTGCCTTTCATCTCTTTGTATTTTTATTTCTCTGCTCCTGCTGTGCTGCCTAAATATACATACCTGCCTTCTTACCTGATACCTGCTTGTCAATATTTGCTGATATTTAAATATGTGGGGCAGTAGTTTCTGGGTTGCTGGCATGTAAGACATGCAGTGTCTGAGAGGTGCCTTTTGGAGAGCTATTTTGAGATGTGATCTCCAGAAACATTGCATCAGCATTTGTTCAGGTAAACTGCCCTTGTTTGGGTGTGTCTCCTTTTACTCCTTCCTTGTATGGGTGTTGTGTGTATTCTGTCCTTTTTCCTTTTTATTAAAGCATAACATTCAGAAATTTGCAGTATGCCTTTTCACAAAGTGAACAGAACCTAGATCACTAGACTTTTAAAAAAGTTTATTGTTGTCATTTGAGAGAAAAATGAAGCCATGCGAATCTTTTGTGTATAAAAGAAAATGTGACCTTTACACCTTTTCCTTTTACTTTCATATCAACTTACTTCCTGTTATATAATGATTTAAGAATTAACGAATCCTTCAACTAGTCGTATCTTACATGTCAGTGTTGTACATATAATGCTGATGCAACTAGTCGTATCTTACATGTCAGTGTTGTACATATATTGCTGATGCTTTTTTGAGATGAAAATTATTGAACTAAGAAATGGGTTCTAACTGTGCTTATTAAGCAAGTCTTTAAAGAAAGTGTAGTAAAGGAGAAAGTTGTTCATATCTGATTGCTGTTAAGAGAAATTACCTAAAACTTGGTAATAAAAAAATACAGCATGTTAATTCAATGCCTTGTTAAGGGTACTGTTTAATTAGCCCATCCTCAGGATAATTCTTGTATTCCACTTTCTATTTATTATTGGGTTAAAGTTCAGGACTGGCAAGCTACCTATTATTCACTTACAGATTTTTCTCCAGAAGATAGGCAACTCTAAAACCTGTGACTTTATTACCCTGTAGGACATTAGCCAGTTTTTTTTTAAGTAACCTCCCAGTCTTACTGTATCACTAAGAGAGAGGGAGAGAAAGAGAGAGAGAAAGAGAGAGAGAAAGAGAGAGAGAAAGAGGGCTTTTTCTGATGAGACTGTGTAAGCCTGTTCTACAAATGATCCTGGAACTAACTTTACCATCTTACTGATACCATCTTACTGATTCCTTCGAATAACATTTTTGACACAAGTTCATTTTATAGTCCTGTGAGAGTCTTGAGTCATGTTTTTTGCCTTGTTGAAAACCATAATTTGATGCTACCACAGCATATCTGTCCTGTCCCTTCATGTTCTACCTAGGGATTGACTTTCCAGGGCATCGCAGTAATGCACAAGGATTCCAAACTCTCACTGGGTGAAAGTAATGATAAAAATAATGTCATAGTTTATAGTGTAAAACTAGGTTTTAATTACTAAACTTTTCTAATAAATTAATTTGTCTTTTTAGGCTGAAGCACATAAAGCATTCACTATGGGGAAAATACCATTTTGACTCATTTTTCCGTTGCCGGTGGGAGAGGAAGAACCCATACAGAAGCACACCCTCCTGTGTGTGTGTGTCTCATTGTACTGCTTTTTTAGAAAGCAGCTCAGTGATGAAGCCACCATTATGTCCTCAGTCAGTGAAGTAAATCTTGATATCAAAGATTTCCTAATGAGCATTAATTTGGAGCAGTATGTCCCACACTTCCGTGAGTCTGGCTTTAACACCGTGAGGGACTGCGCAGCTCTCGATGACAGCGTGCTACACAAAATTGGAATATCACCGACAGGACACCGGAGGAGGATCATCAAACAATTACAGATAATCTTGTCAAAAATGCAAGATATCCCAATCTATGCAAATATTCATAAAGTAAAGAAGAATGATGAGACTTCAAAGGGTCGCCCCGTTCCATCTTCTGGCCAGGATACCTGCTTGGAACGTTCAGATTCATCTAGTGCTCAGACACCTAGCCCAGCGCAGGTGGAGTCTGTTACAAAAGATCTTGACCAAAGTGCCATTGGTGTGGAAAATAGCCAGTGTTTTCAATCAGATGATGAGCCGCCTCTTCCTAAACACAACTTCCCCATTCCAGAAGAAGGACACCATCTGAAATTAAGTTCTTTTCAAGGTTCTTTATTGGGTAACATTAAAATAGAATCTTTGATTACAAAGGAGACTGTGGATTGTACAACTAAAGAACAACAAACAGGGAGCATTGACTTGAACTCAGAAGATGGGAACAAGCTTCCTCCTGTAGACCCTGACCGCCTTTCCTCCCTTGGCTGTTCAGTATCAGAAGCCAATTCTGGACATGGAACAAATGGTGTGTTAGAAAGATCACCACCATCCCCTCTCTTTAACTTTCAAGGACAAATGGTTCTAAATGACTTGTATGTTCCATCATCGCCATTCCTGACACCTATGAGGAGTCGGAGCAAGTTGGTTTCAAGGCCATCTCGATCTTTTCTGCTAAGACATCGGCCTGTACCAGAGATTCCAGGGTCAACAAAAGGAATCTCTGGGAGGTAAGAACTTTTATGATAAATTGTAAGTGTATTCAATTGGGAGGGATTTAGTTATTTTATTTATTTATTTATTTTTAATATATTTTATTGATTTTTCACAGAGAGGGAGAGAGAGTGATAGAGAGTTAGAAACATCGATGAGAGAAACTCATCGATCAGCCACCTCCAGCACATCCCCCACTGGGGACGTGCCCGCAACTAACATACATGCCCTTGACCGGAATCGAACCCGGGACCTTCCAATCCGCAGGCTTATGCTCTATTCACTGAGCCAAACCGGTTTCGGCAGATTTAGTTATTTTAAACAATTAGATTTTCAGGGTTTAATTTTTCCTGAATTTGACTTCTATTAATTTACCTATTGAACTAACCTTTTCTTCTCTTTTAAATTTTTTGTTTTTTGTTTTTTGTTATGCTATATCTCTTGAACATTATTTTCAGAGTCAGTGTCCAACTTGTAACTAACTGCCTGGAACTCTAGCTTTCGACCACTTAATCTCTTTATTTTATCTGCATATTCCTTCCCACACCTTTCCTCCACACCAGGTTTTACATTCTTCCATAAGTGCTGTTTTCATATTTGAATTGCTGACTCTGTCTCCCCACTGAATTATTTGTTCTTTGGCAGGGGCCATGCGTCTAATTTTGCACTTCTACTTCCTGGTACAATGCTTGGCATGAATTAATAATTCAACAGGCATCTAACGAATATCTCCTTGGTATCCTTGGTCACTGTGCTAGGTGTGAAGAAGGTAGTATTTAAAAACAAAAGTCAGCCAAGTAAATTGGAAGATTTAATTGGCTTTGCTCAATGATTAATGGATCGGGCAGCATCCCATTTAGCAAACAGAAAGGAGCTCTGAGGAGGTGGAGACAATGGAAGACTTTTCTAGGCAGATGGAGGCAGGGCGAGGACATTATTCCAGCAAAGAATGGATTGTTTCAGGCAAGGTCCCGTTCCTTGGGGAGTGAAATCAGGGCTGTCTTACAGATTGCCTTATTGGCATCGCACAGATAATTCTATATTATCTATATAATTCTATATTAGCTAAAGGTTCTATTCAGGGAGAGCTTGAAATTGCAGTTGGGTTAGGTTTTTTGGAGCTTAGCATGGTTGACTCCATTTTGAGTCTGTTGTTTCTTTCTTTTCTTTTTCTTTTTCTTTTTTTTTTAACAGTATAGAGGAATAATGGAGTTTGAAGTGTGGTGTGAGAGACAGATGTAAAATGGTAACAGTCAGTATAGTATGAAACCAGGTTTACTAGAGATGGAAAATCTTAAAGAGGGATCTGACCAGAGTGTCTGGTCGTTGATAGCATGAGGTAACTGCGGAGTCTGAGTTGAACCAACTTGCAGCAGATAGAGCTTTTATCTGTTTCTCAAAGTTACACCTAAAATAGTCGTGGTTTTTCTCTGGTATTGCGGTGGAATATTTTTTTTCACTAAAACCTAACACTTGTTTCTGCTGGGGGCCGTGAGGGTGTTCAAGTTTGGCTGTGACTGATGTGATACTGAAAGCTATTATGATTTCTTGCACTGGTTGGAGGCTGGCATTTCTGCAAGATTCCCCCTCCCACAAACCCTCTACCCCTCTGTTATCTCTTCTCCCCCCTCCCCCCCCATCTACTCTGTGCTCTTGCTCTTGGGTACCTTTGGTAATTACAGCCTGAAATGGTGGTTGTATTTTCAAGAGAAAACATGGAGATTTAATATTTGCAAGAGAAAACATGACAATTTATAAGGACTTAATTTCAGTAACTCCCATTAGAACAGCCACTCTTTTAGGGCAAGAGGCCCTAATTTGTCTGTCTTCCTTGGTATCCCTAGTGCCAATAGCTATTTGTAGTATTTATTAGGAAATCAGTAACCATAGTGTCATTTATTAGGTGCTACATTGGATTATATAATTCTCTGGGGGTTATCTAATTCTCACAATGGCCCGGTAAAGTAGGTAATACTTATCCATCTTCTTATGAGGTAACTGAGTCTGACGAGGTTAATTTTCCTAGGATCCCAAGGATAGTGAACTGGATTTCATTCCAGTAAATCTGACTTGTATGTAGAGGTATACCTTATGGCCATGGTCTGCAAACTGCGGCTCTCGAGCCACATGTGGCTCTTTGGCCCCTTGAATGTGGCTCTTCCACAAAATACCAAGGCCTGGGCAAGTCTATTTTGAAGAAGTGGCATTAGAAGAAGTTCAAGTTTAAAAAATTGGGCTCTCAAAAGAAATTTCAATTGTTGTACTGTTGATATTTGGCTCTGTTGAGTAATGAGTTTGCCGACCACTGCCTTAGGGATATTGCAGGTTCATTTCCAGACCGTCCCGATATCGTGAGTCAAATTCTTTTTGTTGCTAGAGGGTCTTACCTTCAATTTGTAAAAAGAAAAAAGGCAACATCGGTGGAGCAGAAAAAGCTAAGTGCGATGAAACAAGGTATGCCTGTATAAGAATTGGGATATAATTTAAGAACGTAGAAGGGAACTAACTTTGGTATGACCCGTTAGCTTTAAAAAATTTTGCTAATTTTAAACAAAGTAACCTGAGAAGGGCTTACTGTGAGTTACACACATTTAAAATTGCATCTTTGCCAGAACAAAATCCTTTTGGGAGCCATAAGGGTAACTTTAGATAAACATTTGGCTTTAAAGTTTTAAGTAAGAGATGCTAGTTTTCATAAATTGAGAGGCTTGTTATTCCCATTATCACCATGAGCCCTTGAAAATGAGAATTGAAATAATGTTAACTTTGGTAGGAAATAACTTGGTAGCTGCCTTACAGCCAGATTACCTGTTGTAACCTTTCTTTTCTTTGATTATGGCAGTGAGTGGTAGTTACTCATTCATGGTGCTTAAATCATAAAAGAGAAAGTAGTTATTTTCGGACTTTACTGTTTATTTTTACTTGTGGTCCTCACCAGAATTGCAACTAGTAATTGCAAATTTAAAAAAAAAATTACAATTTGACATTTAGAATAAAATTGTGGATTCTGTACAGAGATTCCAATCAAATAACATCTAAATGACATTTAGTAATATTCCTTGATGTATCAAAAATATATATTTATATATTTTTTTGTGGCCAGTACTTCCACCTAATTCTTTACAAATTAAACTTCTCATGTAATTGCTTTTCTGCGGTGAAGCCCTCTGTGTTCCCCCTTTATCTATCCAGTTGAATCTGGTCACAATGATTGGTTTTCCTTTGCCTTAGGCATTTTCCTGTTCCTTTTCTTTGGACAGTGGGGTGGTGCCATGCTGAATAAGGAATCTCACGATCTCTTATAAACTTCTGCCTCTTGAAGGAGAGGTTAGAACTAGGCTGGGAGAGCCAGTTTCTTTCTTATTATCTTCACTTGGAGCTCTTCCTAGCGCTGGGGAAACCTCCCAGCAGAAGCCAGTCCAACCAGCTGTCATTTCCATAGGTGTGTCCTGGGATCCTTATGGGAAGATCCTCCACAGTGCTCTAGGCAAGAAGCAACAGGTATTTTTCTTATCCTCCCCAGTTGAATGATTTTATACATCTTGCATGCAATTATTTTTTCTTTGGCACAACTCAAGGAGCCCTCTCTTTTAGGTGTTTTGCCTCTGAATTTTTTGAGGGACGGGAAAGGAAGGGCGCAGAGAGGTCTTTGGAGAGGAGGATAGCATGATGATTGGAGAATATCTATTACAACTTAGCCTAAGATCGAGGTACTATATTGGCTGTTTGAGGGCTTTTTAAAAGTTTGAAATCTAGCCCTAACTGGTTTGGCTCAGTGGATAGAGTGTCAGCCTATGGACTGAAGGGTCCTGGGTTCTATTCTGGTCAAGGGCACATGCCCAGGTTGTGGGCTTCATCCCCAGTGTGGGGTGTACAGGAGGCAGCCGATCAATGATTCTCTCTTATCATTGATGTTTCTCTTTCTCTTACTCCTTTTCCCTTCCTTTCTGAAAGTAGTAAAAATATATCTTAAAAAAGGTTTGAAATCTAAACCTGAATTCTCTAGTTGTCTTTGAATTAAAAAAATAAAAACCCTAGATATTTTTTCTAGATGTACATAGACATGATACAGACATTAGAAATGGGTAGCAATATTTTAGACTTCAATGTGAAAATGTATATGAGCAAAAGTGTACAGGAAAATAAAAGCAATTGTTGGCTGCATTGAATTTTTAAAAGTACTGAAACTTATCACATATTTTTATGCTTAAGAAAAACTTCACATTTCATGTTATACCAGAAACAAGCTTAGCAATCTAAAATTCAGATTTTTTTTTCTTTAAAATGTTCTTTTAGAAAAAAAAAATTATTTTATTTTATTGATTTCAGTGAAGAAGGGAGAGAGAGATTAAAACATCAATGATGAGAGAGACTCACTGATCAGCTGCCTCCTGCACGCCCTACACTGGATCCAGCCTGCAACCCAGGCATGTGCCCGACCAGGAATCTAACTGTGACTTCTGGTTGGTAGGCAGACACTCAAGCACTGAGCCATGCAGGCTGGGTTTTACAATGACTTTTTATAAATTCTATGAAAAAATAGGCTGTGAAATTTTGACTAGAACATCTAAGTAAGTCAAAATTTAGATAATAGTTTGATTTAATGTTAGAGGATAAAGATATATTTCTGCTTGTTAATTTTTACAAGAACACATTTTGCTTATACTTATTTTTCATAATTAAAAATGGCCCACTTTGTTTGAAAAAATGTATTTTTCTAAACTAAAAATAACTTTACACTATAATAAAGAATAAAAAGCAGTAATTTGAGCAAAAGAAGTTGTAGTTCTGGAGACACTGATTTAGGTAGTAATCTCAATTGTATCCGCCAAAGGTAAGGGGAGGCGGTCTTTTACATTCAAAGTTTTCAACCAATTAGGTCCATTTTATGTACATGAGATATCCAAATTTAGACGCTTTTATTGGTCCAAATCTCAAATTCCTTTTGGTTGGCACTATGCATTCTGATTGGTCATTATGGCATAGTTCTGATTGGACTTGATAGGTCTTTGTTCATTGGTCCAAAGATAAAACTAGGAACTCCTTTTTAATTCAGTTCTATAATGACTTATACTCAGCCTTTTATAGCTAGTCTGTTATGAATTGTAAGAACTGAAATTTCTTTTTAGACAAACATTCTGTGAAATGATGGACCCTTTATGGTCCATAAATGATTATTTTTTGGTGTGTCTGCCTCACTTAAGCAATAGGTAAGTGTAAATTATAAAGAGAGATTTTTGACATTAATTAACCTGTGTGCCACTGCTTTCCTTGGCAATTTTAGTGACTAAAAATATGTGAAAAAATAGTTTTGGTAGGTATGATGGGAATTCTCTTTGATGATCAGTTGTTCTTTTGCAGTTATTCTATATTGGTGTTTCATTTAGTATTTTTAAGATCTGCATTGATGCACATGATTTTGTGCAATAACTCCTGTGTAGTATTTTATTAAAAGAAATAAACCTATTTTCCTACTAGGTTGTTGACACTTTTTCACTATTACAGATGAAGTGTGTTCATTCTCTTAAGGGCTTTAAAAGTTTACCAAGAAGGCTGAAACCAGTTTGGCTCAATGGATAGAGCATCGGCTTGGGAACTGAAGGGTCCCGGGTTCGATTCTGGTCAAGGACATGTACCTTGGTTGCGGACATATCCCCAGTAGGAGGTGTGCAAGAGGCAGCTGATCGATGACTCTCTCTCATCAATGTTTCTAACTCTCTATCTTTCTTCCTCTCTGTACAAAATCAATAAAATATATATTTTTTAAAAAATAAAAGTTTACCTGGAGGATCAACCATTATTTTCTCTAATCTATAATAATAAAAGCATAATATGCTAATTAGACTGAATAGTCAAATGACTTTCTGGACGTCATTCCGGACGTCTTTCTAGATGACCTTCCGGATGAAACTGTGGTGGTGGAAGCTGAGGCAGAGGCAGCCACAGTGGTGGGTGGGGACCAAGGCAGAGGCGATTAGGGGTGATCAGGCAGGCAGGAAAGTGGTTAGAGGTGATCAAGCAGGCAGGTGAGCAGTTAGGGTCAATCAAGTGGGTAGGCAGAGTGGTTAGGGATGATCAGGTAGGCAGGCAGAGGCAGTTAGGGATTATCAGACAGGCAGAGTAGTTAAGGCGATCAGGCAGGTGGTTAAGGCAATCAGGCAGGCAGGCAGAGGCAGTTAGGGGTGGTCAGGCAGGTAGGCGAGTGGTTAGGGGCAATCAGATAGGCAAGCAGAGGGGCTGGGGCGACCAGGCAAGGAGGCAGGCAAGCAGTTAGGAGTCAGTGGTCCCAGATTGTGAGAGGGATGTCTGCCTGTTTAAACTGGCAGTCGGATATCCCCCAACGGGTCCCGGATTGGAAAGGGTCCTGAGGGACCCTCCCTATCATGCACAAATTTCATGCACGAGGCCTCTAATAAAAATACCCCTCCTTCTCTGTTTTCCTTAACAGTTCGTGTAGAATTTGTATTATCTTCTTTCCTTAAACATTGGTGGAATTCCTCAGTGAAATATCTGGCCATAGCGTTTTTTGTGGGCAGGTGACTAATTACTAACTGCGAATATAGGCCTAAACCTATGTTTTAACTGTAAAATTAGGGGGTCATCTTATATGCCAGAAAATACGGTAAACTCAATTTCTCTAATAGAGGGATATCAAGATTTTCTGTGTATTCTTGTGTCATATTTGCTAATTTGTATCTCAAGGAATGTTTCAATATTATCTTATTTATTGGCATAAAGTTTTCTTAGTAATCTGTAGTTATCCCTTTCTTGTCCGTAGGATTTGTAGTGATGCCTCCTTTTCCATTCCAGATATTGGTAATTTATATCTATGTCTCCCTTTTATTTTTCCTTCTCTGAGGTTGATCAATTTTATTGATCATTTCAAAGAACTAGATTTCGGTAACAGTCACTTAAATTTTGTTCATATTCTATTTTATTGATTCCTGCTCTTTTATCATTATTATTATTAACTTGCTTGTAGTTACTTGGACAGATAAGTGTATAAGGACAGTGCCCAGACCTTTACATTTAGAGGGCAAACTAGATAGAAGTCTTTCATATTGTGGTAGGTATTCATTATCATCTGTTTCCACAGTGTTTTCCTCTGGCTTGCTGTTAGGTTGTATAGTAATTGTTTGTAAAGTCTCTCCCCCAAGACTATCAGATCTTTGAGAAAAAAAAGTCTCGTGTATTCTGATACTGTGCTCATAGAGCCAGACAGGCTTTTTATGCAGTGTGATAAAACAAATGACAAAAACACGCACAGATATACTGAAATCTAGTTAGAAAAATTGTTTCTCAGATGGGTATGGATGGGGTTATGAAACTGCTTTATGTTCATACCAGCATTGGGCAAATAGGTTTGCTTTTGCTATTTATGAATAGGAGAAACACTTGTAAAATTCTTTGAAATCTCTTCCTTTATGCTATTCAGAAAAACACATTTGTGGGAATTGGCCCGTTCTGTTTATTTAAAATCAGATTTACTTTTGAATACTTGTTTTGCTAACTAAAAGAATGTATGTCCCTCTATAAGTAATCTTTTTACATATCTATTTTAACCTATTTTCCCCTTTCCTTTAAGCTATTTCCGTGAGAGAAGAAATGGTGCTACCTCAACTGGAAAATCTGTGACACAGCACAGTGAGTCTTAGCATTTCAAGTCTCTGTAAATCATTAGCACTCGTTTGATGGATTTAAATGTGTTTAAATCAGGATGGAGAAGGCAGCCCACCTGGAGAACAGGGACTAATGGGAATACTCCCTGCTAGGGTTCATACACTTCAGACACCTTTAAAAGTGAGTGAATGAGAGACAGTAATAGACACACAGACACCTGGAAATTTGCACATGGTGATGTAAAAAGATTTTTTTAAATACAGGCTTCATTTATCCTTAGCCACAGTTGAAGGCATTTAACTGAATTAAGTGGTTTCTGACAGTTTGAGTTACAGAGCATAGATTATGGAAAGTAATTTTTGCCATGGTAACAGGAAAGGTCTGACATCGCTCTGGTGGATTGATCATTGACAAGGGCTTTTCTTTCTTTCTGAAAAGTCTGTTTTTACAAGTTCAGGAGCATTCAACAATAAGATGGCAAACAAATACTTGCTACCGAGCAGTTAAAAATCATTTTGCCCTATCAGAAAATGAAAGTGTTGAGAATTCTTTCTTGTAGATTGGTGCAATTCAAAGATGGTAGCAGTTCTTTTGAAATGATTTACTTACAGATGTATTAGTATCTCTGGAATAGAAGGATTATATTAAGTGGATTCTGGTATTTTGAGTCCTATAACATCTAGTTGTTCTGCTAGTGAATTTTTAATAATTACTTAGTGAAAGTTATAATAGAATTAAGATTAATTTTCTGCTGTTAATACCATTCTCTTATTTAGGCAGGCCTGGTGCATAAAAATTTGTGCATTTGGGATGGGTCTCTTAGCCCGACCTTCAGCCTCTTCCAATCCAGGGTTCCTCAGGGGATATCCATCTGCTGGCTTAGGCCTGCTCCCTGAGGGTCGGGCCTAAGCTGGCAGTCATACATCCCTCTGGCAGCCCTGTTGGACATCCTTAACTCTGTTGAGGAGGCGGGAGAGGTTCCTACCACTGCTGCTGCTCTTGCAGCTGTCATCCCTGCTTATGGCTGAGCGGAGCTTCCCTGTGGGAGCGCACTGACCACCATGGAGCAGCTTCTGCGTTGAGCATCTTCCCCCTGGTGGTCAGTGTGTGTCATAGCAACTGGTCATTCCTGTTAGTTCCACAGTTAGGGTCAATTTGCATATTACCCTTTTATTATATAGGATTAACATTAAAAATGGCATCATACTGTGGGAAGGGGCTGTGGGTAGAGGTTGAAGAGGTATGGGGGGAAATGATGGGAAAAATAAAATAAAGAAAGAAAGGTCACCATGACAATTTCTGTTGTATACAGTAGGAAATGTACTTGGTTATATTAATGTAGATCTTAGAGGTTAGCAAGGACAGATAGATCTGACACACCACACTTTAAGAAATAGTAAATTTTTACTATTGTACAAGTGAGGGGTATATATAGTGAGTGCTACATCATGAAGTCCATTTGAGTGAGTTTATTTATTTGGGGGTGAGTTTATTTGGGGTTAAGAATTATGAGCATAATTTTGGACTCTAAAAATAAAACTTAAGTTGTGATACTGCTTTAAGATAAACACATGCCTTTTAAAAAAGCAATAATTCCCATTATTTACATCTTTTCATTTTCATCTTATAATTTCTCCAAAAGATTCAAATGAGGAGAATTCATCTTCCATCTTTCCTTATGGAGAGACCTTTCTCTTCCAGAGACTAGAAACTGCCAAGGTTCGTTCCATTCATTTTAATTTTTTTTTCATATTATTTACTCTTCTGTTTATATTTGCTGCTTCATTTTCCTATATGCTGTTTGAAGACCGTTATGTTGAAGAATGATTTTCAGTCAGTAAAATTTTATTCTGTAAAATCATGTTAAAATTTTATCTTTAAATATATATTACAGAAACAAATTTTCAGTTTGATTTAAAAAATAAGGGTTAGTGTGTTCAAACTTTTGTGGAAGACAAGTTACTTTAAAAAAGAAAAAAAATCATAAAAAGCAAAAGCAAACAACTGCTCCCCACCCTTCCCGCTTGTGATTTGCATTATACCCACATACAGACTTCTGGTTAGTTACATATCTTAATTATTCCGTTTTAGTCTTTTCTCTTCAGTATCTATGCTCTTTGCTACTTTATTTCTTGGTCATGATAAAAAAGAAGTTAGAAGACAAAAAATATTGGGAAAGTAAAAGTAACTAAATTTTTACTCTTGGTTAGCATATTCTAGGGTTTTTTTTTCTTCTTCTTGAAATGATGAGTTTCTAATAATTGAAATTTGTTCTTGAAAAAGACATCCAAAGGCTACTGTTTAATGTAGTCTTCCTAACTAGATTGTTTTTACTGAAAATTGATCTAAGCAATTAGATATTTGGTTTATAAAATTAAACCCAGATAGTGTGGATCTTTCTAGAATATTGAAACCCTAAAAAAAAACTATATGTATTTTTTTTATAGAAAAAATCTATAAGGAATGAATTTTGGGCCCATGAAGAAACACTCAAAGGAAAAGCAGCAACTGAAAGAAACTCCTTTTTTGTCAAATCAAGGTATGAAGTCATGACTAATGATGATGAATTCTTTTAAATTAAATGTTACACAATGTTGACTTCTTGCTCATATTATATTTCTAAGAAAATAGTTTACATTGGTAAGTTCAAATCTTTTTGATATTTTTTTCCCATTAATTTTTAGAGAGTGGAAGGGAGGGAGGAGAGAGAGAAACATGGTTATGAGAGAGACACATCTATTGGTTACCTTCTGCCCCTGCTCTGACTGGGGCCAAGGATCGAACCTGTAACCCAGATACATGCCCTTCTCCAGGCACTGATCCTTAGAACCCATTTGTGCATGGCCCGGTGCTCTAGCCAGTGAGCCACACCACCTAGCACATCAAATATTTTTTTTTTTTTTTTATGTGTCAATAGCAGAACTCACTTTAATAATTCAATTTAGAGTCTGTAAATAAAGTGTGTTCTGTGACAGATTACTTTGGTTTTCCTCTAATTTGAAACCACTCTCCCTTTTCCAATGTGGCAAATTTGTGGTGACTCTGATTGCAGTTTAAGGATCAGAGGAAGTTAGTTAATATGAAGTGGAAAGGAGCAGTGCAAAAAACTCAATGTGGGTTTTCACAAATGTAACTTAGTATCTTATTATTTAAGTTCAGCATTGACAAGTGGCCTGACATTATCCACTTATTTGGATCACACATGGAATTAATCAGAATTTCTAAAGCTCCAACATAAATTTAATTTTTAGCTCTATTAGGACTTGGTTCATTACTTAACATTTGTTTTATCTTCTATTTTATTCTTCTTTTTCTGAAGGCTAACAATGTTGTGGGTTTCCCTTCTATACATTGAAACTAAACGTAAGGAAAATACTAAAACGAAAGGAAGATACTAAAATGCTAGTTAGCAAGCACTTGATATGACCCTCTTATAATGTATAAAGTGAAGGGGCCAGACTAAGTCATTCTTTAAGGAAGTACCAATTTTTAGAACACTGTGTCCAGAAGACATTGAACCCCTAAACATATGTTTTATTGATTAGAAAAAACCACCTTTATGGGTTATGGGTTTCATTATACACAAATTATTCAGTGACTCTGTTTTGTCATTCCTGAAATGTATAGCAATGTGTTTAGCTATTATGAATGTGTTCCAGTAATTATTAGATGCTACACAGTCCTGACCTTTCTCATTTTCTAGCCAGCAGTGCGGTCTGCTTCTTCCTCATTAGTGTTGCAGAATAATAGGAAAGCTCTCCTCAGTCAGCAGTACTCCCTGTCCTATTACATGGTAATGGAACATGAGGTCCTGGGAGTGGAGAGTCACAGAAGAGGCAACGAGTTTAGAAGAAAGATCTCCAAAAACATAAGTTAGTCGTTCATGTTGTTGTCCAGGGACCAGATGTGGGCACTCAATGGTGCTGGTGCAGATGTTTACATTGTGTTGGAAAGAACATAGCCAGTCTCCATCCTCACCACCTGTACCCAACCTCCCAAATAAACAGATAGGATTAATTGATCCACAAGAAAAAAATATATACTACTTCTAGTAGTGTTCAAATAGGTCTTAGGATAATGAGAGATTTGTATTTAATTTTCTTGGAAGAATTTAAAAAATTATCAGGTGGATTAATTGAATGCTAAGATTTTCCTGGTTTTGAATTCCTGCGATGGGTTATTGATAAATGTTAAAAAAAAAATAACCGATGGTTTAAATGACATAAGCACTTTGGAATGTTTACACTATTCTTTTCCCTTTAGTATATATGATAACAGGAAAGAGAATGTAAGTGAAGACAAAGTGGAGGATATTTGGATACCTCGAGAAGACAAAAACAATTTTCCAGCTGGCTGTGCTGCAGATTCAGAATATTCAACAGTAGAAGAATGCTTTCAGAGTTTAAAAAGAAAAAATTCAAAGGCATCTAAAACCAGGACTCAGAAAGTATTGAACTTGGACCCTGTTAATAGGCACAGTTATCCCTTAAGCTCAACAAGTGGAAATGCTGATTCATCAGCCCTTTCCTCAAGTCCAATATCTCCTTATGCCTGCTTTTATGGATCGTCTGCAAGGAAGGTTAAATCGGGATGGCTAGACAAACTCTCTCCTCAAGGGTATGTATTTATTTATTTTAATAAGTAGCATATTTTCAAAAATTCAAGTTTATCCACTTCTAAACCTGCTAGGTTTCTACTGGCCCCCTCCTTCATCCCTCCTCACCATGCATACAGGTAGTTTTTCTGGACTTTCAACATGCTTTTGCAAATGCTATTGTTTAGACTTAAGAGAAGCCTATGGAATGTGCTAAATTAAATGAGGGGTTAAGGTGCTGAAAAGCAGAATAAAACTGGAATTTCACCTCTAGAAAGTTAGTTTCTAACTTTGCACCAAATTTTACTATTGTGTCCTAATTTGTAGCAAAAAAAAAAAAAAAAAAAAGCAACACAGATTGAGTTAGTGGTATTCAGGCCACACTTTGGCTTTTGCACATCTCATAACAGTGTTCTGTTTGGGAATACAAGGCTTATTGTAGTTAAGAGAAAACACATCATGGTTAGATTTTGGGCTTCACTGTTATTGATATACTAGAGGCCTGGTGCATGAAATTTGTGCATGAGGACGGAGTGTCCCTCCGCCCAGCTTGAACCCTCTCCAATCCGGAACCTCTTGGGGGAGTCTGACTGCCGATGATCCCTCTTGTAATCTGGAACCGCTGGCTCCTAACCACTTGCCTGCCTACTGGTTTGATCGCTGCCAAACTTCTTCCCTGCCAGCCTCATGGCCCCCAACAGTCCTCCCCTGCTGGTCTGATCACCCCTAACTGCCTCTGCTTCGGCCCAGACCACCGTGGCTTTGTCCAGAAGGAAGTCAGACGGCAGGAAGATGTCCCGTCTCCCAGTCTAATTAGCATATCACCCTTTTATTAGTATAGATTGTTTTGTTTTTTTGTATGTTGCACAGAAGGTCAGAGTCCCTTGAATATTATACTTTCAAAACAGACTTGTCCTTTTTGTTTACAAAGAAACTTCTGTCCCTTAAGCATTTTATTGTAAGCATTTAGAAAAATCTTTGGGGAGGGATTATGTTTTAATTAGAATGGCTCTCTGGCATCTTGATTTTGGATGTCTTTTTGCAATATTTATTTGAAATGTTCCTCATGAATCATTAAGTTATTTTTGGATTATACATCTCCTGTTTAAGTAATGAATGTGGTGGATCTCCACAATGTGCAGGCTTTCTCTGCTGTTCCCCTTCCCCATCCCCCACAAATGTTCCTCATTTCCAGAAGACCTTGGTTTGACCTGGAGTAAATTTTATTAGCAAATAATTACCAGAAGAATTATCAGTTGCTCAGTGGGAGCAGGTGTGGCATGTTTTAAGAAAGCCAAAAGACCCCCCAACGCTTTCATGGCTTTTAATTATATGGTTAACATTTCATATGATTGCATCCTTTTAGCAAATGAGATGTTGAATAAACCAAAGCCAAAGTACTTCTTGTACCAAATGCTTTGTCTCTCTTCTTCCTGGTTACATTAGTATGATAGAGTAGTCAGCTGTGTCTATTTTTCATCAGTCATCAGTGTTATTGGTAAATAGCAAACGTATGAGTCAGCACTGGTGGGATGAAAACAGTGAGCTCGCATGTTCTCAGATCTTTCATTTCTGTAACATGAAGTGTTCAGGGAGATCCGAGTGGGCTTTCAGAATATCACTGGAAGGTTTTGCAGACTCTGGGTATAGAGCCCTCAGCAGCGATGGTTTCCTGCATACTCTCTGGTGGCACCTTGCTCTTTACAGGGTTGGCATGTTTATGCTCCAGGCACAGTGAGAAAGTGTTACCATTACTGGCCACCCGTGGGACAGGTGGAACATTTCTCCCCTCTCTTTGTCAGAACTCTGGCATTTCATTCTTTCTCTTCTGAGTCAGCCTAAGGTTAGATGCTGTCAGTTTTCTAGATTTATCTGTCTCCATTTCAGGAGAAATAATTGAATTTTCTGGCTTAAATCGTGTTCTCCCAAATACCAGGAGGAGAGGACCTAGGCAAGTAAACAAAGCAGCTTGTTATATCACCAAGACACACACACACACACACACACACACACACACACACACACACACTTACAAAAAAAAAAAAAAAAAAAAAAAGTTTCCATGATTATATAGCCACGACTGGAAAGAAACAATGTGTAGCTGACCAAGAAGCATGTATTAGACCAGAAGTAGAATTTTCCCTTTTCCTAATTAGACTCTGGCCATTAGGAGGGTGTTTAAGATGCTCATGAATTAGACAGTGGATACCTGCCCATTTCTTATGCAGAGGTTCCCGAGCTGTGCTTAACTCATGGTCACATGTTGCTTTGGTGCAGGTGGCACTGATTTCGATGACATTCTGAATTCCGAGAGAGAAGATATTAGCAAACTTTTTTTCTGTAAATTGTCAGATAATACATATTTTAATCTTTACAGCCATGTGATCTTTATGGGATATCAGCAACTCATCAGTTGCAGCGTGAAAGCAGCTATAGAGAATATGGAAGCCAATGAATGAGGCCTTTTCAATGAAACTTTATTTATAAACACAGATAATGCGCCAGATTTGGCCTATGAGCCATAGAGGCACAAAACAGATTAGATGGTTGGCTAAAATCTTATTACCATCTTCTTCCATCTCCCCTGGGTCCCAAACAGAAAATTATAACCCGATAGATCACAAAATAGAGAAACCCCTTTCTAGTGTTCTGCAAAACTAGAATAAGAAGCAGGATCCCCCTCATGGACCTTCGCACTTGTTCTTTCTTCCTGGAAGGCTCTTACCCGGAGAGTAATAGGGCTTGCATCCTACCCCCCTTAAGTGCTTGCTGTAATGTCTGTCTCCTTTGCTCTGAGGCCCTGTGCACCAAATTTAAAGTTATTACTGCCCCTCCCCTACCACCCCATTACTCCCTTAGTTACTTTAGTTTTCTCTGTGTGACTCTATACTAGATGACTTACTTATTTCATACTTGTTCCCTGGGGACAGCATCTAGATTGGCTTTTGTTTACTGCGGTATCCTTAGTAAACCACAACGTGGCATGTGATATATTCTTTAATATTTATTGTTGACAGAACCAGTAAAACAAAACAAAACAAAACAAAAAAAAAACTAGCATTAGACATCATTGTTTCTCTACATTTTTCTAGGGATTTTGTATAACTGAACCCCTAACAGTGTTGAAAATCTGCAGGTGCCATTGATGGTGTTGGTGTACATTTCCAGAGCAGTGGCCTCTCAGGGTTCTCCTTATACTTCTGTTTGCTCCCTGGAGACACTTACATGTGTTGTCAAACCACAGTTTAAAAATAAATAGCCACACTCAGTTATCCTTCTCCAAACATTGTTTGTAACTGTTCTCAGTCATGAGTGACATTAAACACAATAAATTCATAATCTGGATTTAATTCACATGGTTGAGTATCTATTTGCTTTTGAAATGGAAATGCCAGTTCTGAATTAATGAACAGTATGGAAAAAAAACAAAACACACACACACCGCCAAATTTTTAGTATTAGAATAATTCTGTAACATTATGCAACTGAAGAAACACTGAGCCTGGCCTGGCTCAGTGGTTGAGCATCAACCTATGTACTAAAAGGTCATGGTTTGATTCCCGGTCAAGGCATATGCCCAGGTTGCAGCTCTATCCCCAGTGTGAGATGTACATGGGGTGGGAGGTTGATTGCTGATTCTCTCTCATCATTGATGTTTCTGTCTCTCTCTTACTCTCCCTTCCTCTCTGAAATCAATAAAAAATGTATATATTCTAAAAGAAATACTGAAACATTTCTAGTTGAGCTTAAATTTAAAAATATTTAAAATTTGAATGATACTATATAATAAAAGGCTAATGTGCAAACTGACCAAATGGCAGAAAGATCAGTCGCTATAAAGTGCACTGAGCAGCAGAGGACAGACACTCAAAGCAGGAGCTGCCCCCTGGTGGTCAGTGCACTCTGTCAGGGAGAGTGCCTCTCAGCCAGAAGCCAGGCTCACAGTTGGTGAGGGCAGCAGTGGTAGTGGGAACATCTCCAGCCTCCACAGCAGTGCTGAGCAGTCAGTGGGACATTCCCCCAAAACTCCCGGACTGCAAGAGGTGCAGGCTGGGCTGAGGGCTGAATTTTGTGCTCCAAACCTCTAGTCTAATTATAATGTAGCTTGATACTATTGGTTTACAAACTTTTATGGAAGAAACTTGATAGAAGGTTGAACTTGAGTCTGTTATTACAACGAGGGCAAGCAGATGAAAAACTTAATAAATGGTACCTGTTTTAAAATACTGAGTTTAGAGGATATAAAACAAATATGCCCCATAAGCCTTTTCTAGCTGTAATGAATAAGCTCAAGCATTTCAGCAAATGTGAAAAGATGCCAATCTGAACAATTGAATATAATTTATTCTAGCATTTTCCAAATATGTAATTCAGAGGAAGAAACCTGTGAGCTCTGTAAAGAGGTGTAATGTCTGTACCCTTTATGGGAGATGCACATATCGAAATAGCCAAGAATGTCTGCAATAAGGAGACTCTTTTGTCTTTAGTTTGCTGTTTTCTACTGATGTTTGTGTGCTTAGCATAATACACTGAACATATTTATAAAAACTACAGTATATTTCCAGGAACTCATAGTTTACTTGGTAAGTTTTTTTGGGACTTCCTTACTTAGCTAAACTCTCTTTTTTTTAAAAAAAATATTAATTTTTGAATCATGGAGAAGCATTGTGTGGTTATGAAAATCTGAGCAGCAGAAGCTGAATTTGTGAAGCTCATTCAGCAATTTGAATGTGCACTAGCTTAAGAATTTATGGAGGAATGTAAAGGCAAGTGAGATGTGTGCAGTCCTTTTGTGTGTCTTCCATTTAGGCAATTAAATATAAAACAGAAAGGCAGAGTGTACGAATAATGGTACAGACAGGTCAGGGCCATAGAGTACAGAATTGTGGGGTTACAAAGGGATTGCTGAGAAAACATTTCTTCCAAGACCTTGGCCTGAGAAATAGCAGTTCAGTTGGTCTTTGGAAAATGGACACATTTTGAACTGGCATTTTCAGACTAAATACTTTCTGGCCAGAAGGAG